GTATGCGGGCCTCTCACTGCTGTGGCCTCTCCCGCCGCGGAGCACAGGCTCCGGACGCGCAGGTCCAGCGGCCATGGCCCACGGGCGCAGCCGCCCTGCAGCACGTGGGATCCTCCTGGACCGGGGCACGAACCCGTGTCCCCTGCATCGGCAGGTGGACTCTCAACCACTGCGCCACCAGGGAAGCCCTGGCGGGTGGATTCTTAACTACTGCGCCACCAGGGAAGTCCCGGCCGAGCTCTTTGGAGTAAACTCACCCCCGGGGACGGTCACCTCTTGGCTAGGCTGGTGTGCGAGTCAGGTTCTACATCCTACACTCTAGTTGTTTTAAGAGCTGGATTGGGCCCGTTTACATGGAATTGCTGAAGCTGAGGGGGTCGGTGTTGCCAACAGTTGTGTCTCTGGGAGCTGCACCATTGGGGTTACACCTGGGCTCCTGGGATGATGCAGAGCGAAAGGGCAGTTAAGCCAGGGCTGCTGGGGTGGCGGGCCTGGACAGGACCCCTTAGGAAGAGGAGTGTCGGGGGTACTGTTGGTAGGGCAGAGGGGTCTGGAAGGGTGTGGCCGATGCCCAGGGAGGGGCTGGGGCGCGGTGACGGTAGCGTGGCCCCCGTGGCCGCTCCCCCACCCTTCCTCCCTCCCCTCCCCTTGCTGCGTGGCTCCAGCGCACAGCTGTCCCCAGCATCCATCTTTGTCACCACCCTGCTGTGGGGCTAATGAGTTCTCCCATGAAGCCCTTGAAGCGCAGCACGTGGGCTGGCTCCACCCCCGGCCCGGAGGCCCCAGGCCTGCCTCCGAGGGTCCCTCGCCGGCCTTTGAATCTGCACAAGGTGTCAGGGGTCCCCGACCTGAGACGTGCTGGGGTCCACGGTTTGGCCATAGCTCCATCCTGAGAGCACCACCCAGGACGGCTGAGAAAGCTCACAGGCCTGGTTTGGGCCTTTCCAGTGAGGCCAGATCCCAGCCTGGCCCTCGGGGTGTCTCTGGACCTGGCCCTTCCCCTCAGCTCGGGGCCTCTTACTCCACAGGGCGGGAGCTGGTGCCGTGATACTGGAGCTGAGGGGGGTTATAGATGAGGCGCCACGGCCGGGGGCCCTTGGGAATTCAGCACAAAGGCTCCTGGGTGCCGTCCTCTCCCCCGTTCTGGCCTCCTCCTCGCCCAGGACCTGGTCCCGCTGCTGAGTCCACGCAGGACAAGAGGCAGCAAGGCTACTGGGGGAGCCCTGACGAGAGGCACCGTGTCTTAGGGAGCGGGGAGCACCTGCGGGTGCAGCGCCCCCAGCCAGAAGGAGCAGGACCACGGTGTTTCCCAGCAGAGAGGGTCTGGGCCCTCCTGGCTTCCAGCGCCCACAGCCCAGGCAGGACACACGTGGCCCTGCCCAGGCACCTCCTGGCTGCTGGGCTGGGAGCTGGCCTGTCTGAGGCCTCTGTTTCCCCACCTGTGTGGCAGTGGCCTTCACCCTCCCCTCTGCTGCGTCCTTACCTGTTTCTCCTGCTTCACGCTGCCCGCCCCCCAGTCCCTGGCTGGGCGCACTGTGCCCCCTGCTGGTCCCACACCCCAGAGGAAGGAAGGAGACGGATGGGAGTGCCCGGTGTTGGTTTCGGAAGGGAAGGTAGAGGCCTGAGGGGTTGCTGTTTTTACACACAACAAAGTGGAGAGCAGAGGCTCGGTGGAGTTTGCCGGATCATCAGTCACCCAGCCAGTGGCTGGGCTGAGACTTGCCCCGTGACTTTGAGCGTTGCCCAGAGTTTTCTGTACGTGCCAGGAGCGCCTCCCTTCGGGGCTGCCTGCGAGTCACTGGAGAGTTACCACTGGGGCAAGAAAGGTGGCTGGGTGGGTGTGGCGGGGGCAGCCGGCAGCCCACGTGCCCGGCACGGCTGGGCGGCAGACGCTCTCGGAGTCCTGTCCAGCGCTGTGCTGCCCGTGAACTGTGTGTGGCTTAGTGTGTCGGGCCCAGGACAGGGTCTGGCGGCAGGCGCTTCCAGGCTGTTGCTGCTTTCTTGCGAGGTGAATCGAAGAGGCTACCGCCTCTGCTGCTCCCCCCACCACCCGCCCCAGGGCCGCAGGACGCCGTGATGAGGTTGAGAGCATGGCCTCCCCATCCGTCAGCCCCTCACTGGCTGCCCTCTGGCTCCGGGGTCAAAGTGCACGTCCTTTCCCAACTCGCCACCTGCTGGATGCCCCGAGCAACCAGCACGCGCAGATGGCGGCCTCCCTGCCCTGTAGACGCTTCTCATTCAGGAGACACGAATCAGATTCGAAACCGAATCAGATTCGAAACCGTGGTGACGGTGAAAGCACGTGCGCGGCCCCAGGGCCCTGAGTTCCCTCCCAACGGAGGCCGCTCGCCTCTCGGTTTTTCCCTCCTTGGTGGCCGCCGCACTCCTGTTGCTAAGCTCTCCCACCTCTGTCCCCCCTTTGCCGTGTTTTCCAACCTGAGCAAGCTTCCCAGCTGCCAGCAGTGAGCAGGGACCCTCCGTCCCCGGAGCTGCCCGCTTCCCTTGGAGGCGCCAAGGGAGCCAGAGAGGAAGGCCCGTCCGGGAACTCCTGGCCTAGCCCGGCCTTGCCCAGGAGACCTGACGGCAGTGGTGCTGGGGACCCGCCTCCCAATGGGGGCTGGCGGGACGGGACGGGACGGAACGGGCTGAAGAGGAAGGGCTGGTGGGCAGGCCTCGAGCCTCACGCCCAGCCCCTGCCTAGCCCCAGAGAGCCCGCCACAGCCTCTCCCATTTTGCAGCCAGCGAAGCCATTCACACAATCACCTTCTGTTAATTCTATCTGCAACATCAATTAAATTGTTTGTAGAAACTAATTGAATGTGGCTTAATCACACATCTTAATAGCTTTCCACGCTCTGAACTCGTTGTTAATTCCAGTAATAAAACGAGATGAGAACGCTGGCTGGGTAATTAGCGAGGAGGCTGGGGAAGAAATTGCTGTTTGATGGTGGGTAATAAAGGCAGCCGTGGTGACCGCTCTCCTGAACAGCCGCTCCCACCGCCACTGCCGGGCCCCCGTTCTGCTGACAGAGGGAAACGCCCGTTGCTCTGCCCCGGACGCCCCCGTCCCTGCTGCTGCCTTTTGAGCTCCTGCCGCACTCTCCTTGGGGCCGGGCTCCGCCTCCGGGCCCGGGCCTGCAGCTGGCCGGGTGCTGGCCTGCTCCCCACACCCCCCGAGGAACCAGTGCCCGTCCGAGGTGGTCGGAGATGCTGAGGGCCGGTGCTTTCCCCTTACGTTGGTTGCTGGCTTCTTGGCCCTGAACAGAGTCCCTCCGTGTGGCTCTTTTTCTTGGCTTGGGGTCAGCTTTTCCCGCCGTGTCCCAGCCTGGTTATCCCAGGGCTGTTGTGGGGCCTGAAAACTGTTGCAGCTGCTGTGACCTCCTTGTGAACTAGAGCAGCCCAAGCCCCTCCCCCAGGAAAGGGGCTGCAGCAGCCTTCGGCCAGCTGTTGACAGTCGTCTGGAGCCGCTGAGCTAAGATGTGCCTGTATGCAGGGTCCTGGGTGCGTGCGGAAGCCGAGTCGGTGGGCTGTCGGGCCTGGAGTGAGGAGGGCCAGGAGGGTGGAGTCACGCGCTGGATGCTGGGCCGAGAGCAGGACCAAAGGGCCAGCGGCCACTGGGTGGGGCAGGCCAAGTTTGCTGGAGAAGGGACCAGGGGGCCGGAGCCCTGGCGGCGCTCAGCAGAGCGGGGGTGAGAGGTCGTTAGAGGGGAGGGGGTCCTCCCGTGGGTGGAGCCCACCCCCACTGACTTCTCAGTGATGTTGTTCTGTGCTTCTGAGACACGAAGCAGACCCCCTCGGAGCGGAGGGTGCCTGAGGCCTCACGCAGGACTAGGTGGTGGCAGGAGGGCACGGCCGCAGCGCAAAGCTGCGGGGAAGGGAGCTCCTCCGCTCCGGCTGGCTGTGCCCTTGTTGTCTCTCTGGAGGGCCATCTGCCTGTGAAGGTGTCAGAGCTGCTTGGAGAATAAAGAGTGAGTACGGGCCTGGCCAGGCCTCCGGGAGCCGGGCTTGACTGGTGAGGCCAGCGTGCTAGCATCGGTGGTGCCCCGGCCGCCCCACGGTCCTCCTGCTGTAGTCCTGCCATAGGCCCTCGCGCTGGTCCCCTGACGACCCGCCCTGTGGTGAATTCCAGCCCGACGCAGAAGTGCAGGAGCAGGGCTGGTGCTGGGTGCTCTGTTTCCTTGTTCTCACTTCTCTTCCTAATGGGAAGCTCCCATGTTCTCTTGGCTCCTCAGGGCCAGGTGACCCCTTTCTCCTTGATGTCCTCTTGCTCATTCACGGGGTGAGGGCAGCCCCTGAGCCCCTTGCCAGCCCGCACGGGCCCTGCTTCCCAACAGGCAGCGCTCCCCATCGGCTCTTTTGAGCAGAGGACATTGTCCCTTTTCCCTGAAGCTAAAAGTTGAGAAGGTAGGAGAACACCTGGGTGACCAGGAGTGATGCTCCAAGCGGGTAGGGTGAGAGGGTTGGGGCCTGGAAGGACACAAAGACTCCATCGAGCCAGACGCTCAGGGAAGTGCCCTGGATGCAGAACATCCCAGAGGCTCTCCTGAGGGGGGAGAGGCGCCCGTCCCGAGTCTGATCCGTGGAATTCCGCCCAAAGTTAAATTGGTGCCACTGGCCCAGCTTCTGCCCCCGGGAAGGAGCTTTTGCCACACTTTATGGAGGACGCTTGCTGGGGACTGCCCCGGAACTCGCTGGTGCCAGGGGCAGGGAAGCAGGAGTCGGCAGCCTGGAAGGACACGTCAGAAGCAGCAGGGAGAGCGGGGCCCAGGCCGGGCGGGCCTTACGGCGGGCAGGCAGCCAGCCAGCGGGCGGGCGGGCAGGGCTGTGCTCTGCGCCACCCACCTCCCACGCCCCTCCGGCCCCTCCAGGTGCCACTCCCTGGCGGGGGGCGGTCCCAGGCCGAGGTCGAGACAGCGGATGGTGGGGCTCAGCACCCAGTGGCTCCCACCCTCAGGGTCCCTCCCCACTCATCCACTTCCAGGGCCCTATTGGTACTGACTTGAAGGCAGGGTTTGCTCCCGGGCCGAGGAGGAAGTTTGCCTTCCGTGCAGAGCCTTGGGAACCCAAACAGCCTGGGCCTGAATCTGGCTCTGTCACCTGCTGACTGTGTGACCTGGGGCAGGTTAACCTTTGTAAGTCTCAGTTTCTTCACCTGCAAAGTGGGCATCGTAACACCGTCCTCTTAGCTGTCGTGACGATCCCGTGAGGCGGTGTATGAAATGTAGACGCGATATACAGCTGTGGCTCAGTGGACGCCTGGCACGTGGCTGGGTGGGCGATGTGATGTTGTCAGTGGTTGTTACTGTTCCTGCCGTTGGGATACTCACTGGTATCTGTGGAACCGTGGACTTGTCTCAGTATCCCTAAGAACAGCGAAAAGAATCAAAGGCTTCCCTTCAACTGTTCAACAGATATTTATCGTCAGGTGCCATTTTAAGGACTGGGGGCTGCTCTAGGCTTTATAAGTTCTCGAAGTCCCAAGTGGTGGTGGGAGATTCTGAAAATAGGGCTGAACTCCTTGGTGACCAGCCACCCGGGGCCCGGGGCCCAGGACAACCCAGCCGTCCACATCCCACGGAGCCTGTCGGTTCCTCTCCTCGGCCACGTGCCATCTCTCCCTAAATCCCATCTTGGTTCATTCAGTACTTGGCCTCCTTTTCGTTGCCTCCTGAGCCATCTTCCCTAAAGGAGCCCTGAGCCTCAGCTCTTGGCTCTCCACCCTCTGTCGCCCCTGCCCCGCTCCCAGCTGAGCCCCGCACCGAGCCGCACGCGGGCAGCCTTGGAGGTGTGCTGTGTGCGCCACAGAACTCGGGCTGTCCCCTGCCCCCAGCAGCACGGGGGAGAGACCCGGGAGTTGGGAGGGTCAGAGATGAGGTGCTGCCGAAGAGTGACCTGTCCTAACAAGTCTTCCTCTGTCTTGTCCACGTGGCCTTAGGATTACATGCAGAACATCCACGGCAAGGAGATTGACCTGCTGCGGACCACGGTCAAAGTGCCCGGGAAGCGCCTGCCCCGAGCCACGCCGGCCACGGCCCCTGGCGCCAGTCCCCGGGCCAACGGGTTGGCCTTGGAGCGGAGTAGCGCGCAGCTGGGTGGGGGAACAGGTGAGGGGGCTGCTGAGGTGGGAGGGGGCGTGTGGCTGCCGTGGCCCCGTCTGTCTGGGAGGGTGGGGCGCGCCGCGACGGGGCCCGGAAGGGAGGCCTGTGGGGCTGCACCCCTCCCCAGCCAGGTCCTCAGGGCTCCAAACACGCCGGCCACCCGGTGTCTTGCTTCGGGATCAGCTCAGCCAAGCGCAGTTAAAACGCGGCCCTCGTGCGGTTAGTAGAGGTGGCGGACACTGGACCGCCTGGCAGATCAGAATGGGGACAGAGAGCCTCGTGCTGACAGGTGGCATCAGCGTCTGGAGCCAAGGCAGGTGATGGTGGGGACACTGGGGCCCTCTGGCACCAGGGCCACATCTCAGTCAAGTTTGCCGGACGGGCAGGGAGGGAGGCGGGATGGGACAGAGTTGCCTGGGGCGAACCTGGTAACCGTCCTCAGGTCTGCAGTGAGAGGCGGGGGGGGGGGGGGGGGGCTTTGCTCAGAGAAGACTGAGTTTAGAGAGAAGCTGGAGGCCGAGCGGACTCTGCCCCGTGTCCAGAAGAGGTGGAGCCTCCTGAGTGCGCTCCTTGTTGGAGGTGAGGGCCCTGAGAAGCCGGCACCCCACCCTGCCGTGTGTGCCACCACTGCCCCCTAGTCTGGAGGCGCTGCGAGGGGCAGGTGGCAGGCACTGACCCCGCTGGTGGAGGGGTGCTGGCTGCAGTAGATCTGAAGTCGAGACTATCCTCCCCATGTTGTGTGGATGAGGAAACAAAAGTTCGGAGAGGTTAAATAACTTGTCTGTAAAATCCCACAGGAAGTGGTGGAGCTGGGTTTGAACCTGCGCGTGCCTGACTTGGGAAGCTATGTTCTGTCCTCTAAGCCCTTGAATTAGACAGAGAGGGAGCTAGTGGACGGAGGGAAGGAAGGAAGGAAGCTAAGGACAGAAAGACAAGAAAGATAGGTAGGGCGCCAGGAGCGGCCTGTGGGGCTGCACTTGGGGGCGGGGAGGCAGGTCCTGGGTGTTCTGCGTGGGGGGGGCAGGGGCGGGGCCGCCAGGGAAGGGGAGGGGCCGGGGGGG